GGGTGCAGCATCCTTCCAGTGCCGCTGGCACCCACTCCGAGCCCAACCCCTGCCAAGAAGAGCCCTGTGCAGCCCCAGCTGCAGCCCACCCTGCCCCACACAGATCCAGGGGGGTTACATGCCCCCCCCACACCTTCCCAGGGTGCAAGCAGTGGTGGGAGCCACCCCCCTCAACAAGCCGCAGCTCCCTCCTGCGCCTGCCCCCCTTCCCCCCTGCTGGGCAGCGCCTGCCCCTGCCCCCTCCCTCACCAGAGGGGGTGTTGATTTGCCTCCTCCCTGCCCCCTCCACCACACCAGACTTACCAGCTGGAGGCAGCTATCCACACTGCTGACAGTGCTCCTTGCTGCCTGAGTGCTGCACTGCGGCTGTGCACAGCAGGGGTATTTATTGGCCAAATTATCTGCCCCATTGGGCTGATATCCGATACGGCCAATTTTCTTTACACTGGTACTGATCCAATATCAGACCCATGTATCACTGCACCTCTATCAAATCTCTTCTCTTCCCCTGATACCCCTTCGGTGCCAGAAAGATATGGTTACAGTCACCTCACTGCCATGTCTTCCAAAGCCTGCGGAAAACACAACTGACCCTCGATGTTGCAGAGTCATGCCACAGCACCCGTGGTGATGACATTGCAGCCCACACCAAGCAATACAGAAAGGGTGTCTGATTTTGGAGCAGATGCCTGATCCCTGCGGCGCGTACGCAGAAGAGGACCCAGCCTAGCCATAGACAACCTTACCTTTCCCCGCATGAGGGCCTTGTAAGCAATGCGAATGATGAGATAGGACCAGATGATGTGCAGAACCTGCAGAGTTACCAAGAGTCCATTGAACAGCCACCAAGAAGGATAAGGACCAATCAGCTCCCAGCTCTCAAACAGGGTTGTATTCAAGATCCTGAAAGAGGATCCCAGAATGCATTAGATTGGGTGCTTTGCCAATACTCTGATCCTCAGCTGCCAGCTCTGAACTGAGCTAACTGGGCAGATGCATGAAAGGTTTCTCCCCCATGTGAGTTTCTATCACTTAGCTCCTTTCACAATGCTTACGTCCCAACCAACAGTCTCTTGGTACAGTAAGGAAGGATTTGAATCTAGACTTGTGTCAAACTGTTTGAATGTATGGCAACAGCAGGTGATGTGGACTGCTTCCAAAGTGTAGGTTAAATATACAGATCCACTTCTCTCCCCATTCTCCAGGGCATGATGAACATTCACAGTGCATTCAAGGGAAGAGACAGCAGTTGCTCATGTCACAAGCACTGCTGGGAAGGTATGAAATGTTTACTGAAGAGCTAGGCCTTACTCGCATGCTTGAGGAAATTTCTTCCTGGCTATAAAAGTGAGAAAGGAATTTGACCCCAAGTGCATAGCAAAGTTTACTAGTGAAGCTGGTGTTCCCTGGCCCCAGGCTTTTCCTCTGCTCCTCCCACCAAGTTGAAAGGACTGCAGACCAACTAGTGAGACTTAACACTGTGCATACTTGAAGAGGACTCTGATCTCTTCACTAAGGTTTATCAGCAATGCCTTAGCTTAATAAAGCTCTTTGGCCTTATCTATGGAAAAGGTAGTTTATGGAGTAATTTTTTAAAAATACCCACGATAACACTTTGCTTTCAGTAATAAGCCTGTTCACAGGCAGAGAAATGATCATCTAGACCCAGTTTATAGCTGTATTACTGCAGTTTCTTAGGCACGATGTGGCATTGTCCTACAGACTGAGGGAAGACTATGCACTAAATGGAACAGCACAGCATCTTCAAATGTTAATGAAGCTGTGAAGCAGGGGAATTGCATTACAGCCAACAGAAAGCATATTAAAGATTTACAGGGCTTCTGAGCTATGTGATGTCAGAACATGCATCACACTGTGGGAAACAATGGAATAAAGAACAGAAAAAGATGGCCTCATTTGTCAAGGGGAAGCAGGGACCCTCTCTGAAGGGAGCGTCGGTAAAGGCAGGCATGGGTACCTAAACCTTCCTTTATATCTAGATTCCCTTTTTTATTATTATTATTATGTATATTAATACAAATAGGGTCTTTGAAATGCCCCTACCAGTACAACGTAAGTTAAGTGGCTCATTATGCTGATCAGAAACACCCATGAAAGAAAGAGCAAGTAGGCTGTCTGCTATTTACAGAATAAGGACGGAGCGCAAAAACAAGACCAGCTGAGCAACATCCATGTTCAGCAGAACTTGTCAGACACCTTCTGCAGATGAGATAAACACAGCTGTCACCAAAGTACCCCACCAGGCCTGACCTAATGTAGATGTGGCTGAAGGAAAGGCAGATCTCATTGCAAAATGATTAACTACAAGCAACTTCATCTCAGGTTGGTAAATTCAAAACCTAAACACCTAGAAAGGCTCAAAGCAGCCAGAGCACAAGGACAGTGCAAATGTCCAAAAGTAACGGAGGGGGGAATAACCCAGAGGGCCACAAACAGAAACCTGCCTCATGGATAACTGGCCTTTATTTCCACAACATCTTACAGATAAAAGACTCAAGCCATCCTTTGCATCTTTCTAGGCAAATACTGACTGGCAGAGTTGGGTGCAGCTGTTGCATTGCCTCCATCTTGCAGTTTAAGGGGAGTGGTGATCAGCTGTATTTAGGACTCTGGTCACACTCTGAGTATGTATCCACGCTTTAACACCAAAGAAGAATCCTCTCTGACAAGAGCTCAAAACATTACCCCCCCAGCAACAGCCAGCTGGTCCGCAGCTTCAAGCTACTCTGGGGGACTGGTAGCAAAAGCTGTGAGAAGCCCCAATACAAGGGCTTGACCAAGAAAGGAAGGAACAAAAGTGCCCATCTCACTTACCAGTATGGGTAAATACCTAGTCGAGTCACGATGAACACAACACTAAAGAGCATGAAGGTGGCATCACAGAGACGTTGGTATTTGGCGTAATTGGCCAGTTTTGCAGCCTAAGAGAAACAGGATGCGTTACAAGTTTCACTTCCCTGACGTGTACATGCATAAAACAGCACTCCAGAGCACACGAGCCCTCCAGTTACCAGGGAGTCTTGAACAACTAAGGACTAGTCCCCACACAAGGGGGAAAGCTAACAGGGCAGATCAGGAATGTACGTCTACTGGGGTGTCCAGCTTAGACTGCCAAGCCAGAGTGGAAGGGGAAAAAGCAGAGGAGAAGCTTTACCCTGCAGCCTCAGCCCATACACCTTCCACAGAGGCTCAAAGTTCAGGGAGGGAAACAGGAGGTTCACTCACCTCTAGGAGGAAGTCTGAGGCATCGTGGAGGCACAGCACCAGCGTCCCTACCCGCACCATGTTGTTCATATAGGAGAATGTAATAAGTCCAATTGTAGCCAAGTGATGGACAAACATGATAAGAAAATCCTGAAAGGGGAAGATCAAGTTTAAGGAACTTCTGGCAGGAAAACAAATGAAGAGGCTTAGAACAAGGGCACCAAACTGACCAAACAAGAGCCAAATGCCAATGTCTGGTCAGACCTTCAAGCTTGTTTGTATAATCCAATCTGCCTCCCTGTCTGCTCTGGACAAGCTTTCCTTTTTAGGACATGCTGTATCGCACAGGTAGACCATTCCTCTAACCACAAATGGAAGGAAGCCCCCAAACCACAACCCACACACAGAATGCTATTTCTTCTCCCATAGCAACCAGCTGTAGCTCCTGCCCTTCCCCACAATATTCAGACTACTTCCCTGGTTCCTAGCATCCTGCCTGCTTTACCCCAGAAGTCACTATTTGAACTTGAAGCTGAGGCTTCTGGATCTCACAGCAGCATCCAGGAGGGTCTTTGCTTGCTCTGAATTGTCAGGCTGGACCAGTGAACTTGGACACTGTCGGTGACTGCACCGAAATGGTCACTCTCATTAATTTTTATTGGTCATGTACTAAAATGCAGAATTGACCAGTCTACTTTCACTGTCCTGAGTGAAGTGCAAAAAGTAAACAGTATTCACAGCCAAATGTTCCAGTACTATCGGTAAAAAGAAACTCGCATTTTGGAAGTTATTCATTTCAAACTGAGATCATTCCTTTAACACCACATTTCACACTGTCATTCACTCTTAATACAGCTTGCATGGACCTTGTGATAGGCAATATTGCCATGTTGCACATCGCTAACCCAATGAGCAGCAATATTTACATTCAACAGTTACAGTAAAAGTGAAAATCACATAAGTACAGCTTTGGAAGACTACAGTTCTGAGAGAGAGTGCAGGTTGACACCCCCAACACAGGCATTACAATTTAGTTTCAGAGAGGATCCAACTGCAACACCTTTCAAAATTCATTTCTTTCTTTACCCTGTCAACTACTATTTGCTGCTTGTGGCCTTTTGCTATCGTCTGTGATTTCCACTATATTTACCTGCTACAGTTGTATTCTTTATAAACCACCTTATCCCTCCGAATGCAGTTCTGCTGTTCAGTAAATCATTTTACAATTACTGACTTGCTAGCTGCGCTTCAGGTTTTAGGACTATATGGCGCATGAATCAGAGACTAGTGAAGAAGGCATTATAGTCTGTCAAATAATTACAATTAATGTAACAGCCTTGTCTGTACTCTGTATCTTTTAAGTTGCTATAAATTGTTAGCTTTGCAGTGAATCATATCCCACCGGTTATGTTGGACAAGTTCCACTCAGATGCGGTTACAAAGGTGATGATCTACTTGTTTTAAGTGATCGGATGAATCCCACTCCCTAAATAGATGGGAATCTCTCTCTGAACAAAAGACAGTAGATATCAATACATTTAACAAAGCAGGCCCCACCTGATCACGCTACCTGGGGCAAAGAGAAATGTGCTGGTTCCTTTACATTTGTTTGTAGCTCAGTTGAGCAGTAAGAGAGTCTGACTAACCAGTGTTGCCTGGAACTCAGGAATTAGAAATGTATTTTTAAAAATAAAGCAGTATAAGGCCACCGTGGTTTTTTGTTTTTTTTGTTTTTTGTTTTTTTTG